TTGTGCTACCCAGGCCCAATGCCCCAATCTGGGGGCCTGGGAAGCTTCTGGAGAGGGCTGGTTCCTGAAAGATGGGGAGTTGAGGGCTGATCAGAAGACAGATCCCAGGGTGGGAATGCCAGACTGAGGATTTAGATTTGTCCTAGGGGCTTCTGAAGGGCTTTCAGCGTGGAAAGTTCAGGACATAGTAGATAGAAGGTATTGCTCTGCTGTAGGCAGAGGGCCAGAAAGGGGGCTGGAGGATCTCAGCGGATGGAGGGCTCCTTTGTGCCAAACCAGAAGCAGAACCCAAGCCTGCTGTTCCCTTGCACCTTGCTTTTCAGACTGGGCCAGTGATTTCCAAAGTGTGGTCCCAGAACCAAGTGCTGTTGCAGACTTTGTGTCCAAAGGCAGACTTCATGGATGAGCGAGTTTGGGAAACACTGTTCACAGTACTCTGATCTCAGAGTCATAATCCCTATTAACAATCCAAAAGCTCCGAGAGGTCCCAAATTCTTCCCTGTGTAACCCTGTGTAACCCTAAACACAGGATACATATGTTCACACACCAAAGAACAGTCTGGAAGGCCCTAGCTATATCAGACTGCCTGCTTTGAGAGCGCTCTGCTCTGGGACCTGACCCTGCTGGAGGTCTGAGGAGAAGGCAATGGTGCAAACATCACAGCCTTGAGGGGCCCCGGGTGGTGGGGTGGGAACATGTTCCCAGGCTCCAAGGAGGGACAGGCTCAGCCTTGCTCCTTCCCGTGGCTTGTCACTATTATTCTCCTTTGTGCCTCACTTTCCCCATTTGTGAAATGGGGAAGATGGTGGATTTGCAAAGGTGTGGACATCAATTCGACAAAGCGGACAAAGCCCTAAGAATATCTAAGGAGTCAGGAAGTCCTGATGCTGGCTTTTCCCCAGAAAAAGAATGTGCTATGGCCCAGGGCCAGCCTCCTCCTGGGGCACTGGCTGGGACTGACTTCCCTGTCACACTGGCAGGAGCATCTGCTTTTAGAAATACAGTGGTGATGTGAAAGTACCGGCTGTGTAGTCCTGTCCTTTGTTTGTTTTTCAGTACTGGGGATTGAACCTTGGACTTTTGCACTGAGCTACTTTTGATTGTTTGTTTGTTTTTCTATTTTGAGGCAGGAACTCACTATGTTGCTCAGGCTCAAACTTGCCATCCTCTTGCCTCAGCCTTCCAGAAGGCTAGATTACAGGCTTGTACCACCACACGTGGCAATCCTTTCTCCCTTAATGTGAGGCTGGGCGGGGACAAACTGGTCTCTTTGGGTAAAACATGTGTCTAGGGGGTGGAATTGGGGATGTAGACACACCCACTGTATAAAGAAAAGAGCAAACAAGTAGGCAGCAGAGTTATAAAACTATGATGTTCTTTATTAGCTAATATGATGCAAATGTTCTTACTGAAGAGGAAACTGAGGTCCAGGTAGGCTCAGGGACTGGACTTGGGGAAGGGCGCGAACAGATAGCTGTCAACCCAGTTCTTTGCTTCCCTGGGCACTAGGCAGGCTTAAGACCAACTCAGTGACCAAAGAAGACAAAGAGAGAACGTGTTTGGTCAGCCTTCCAAAAGCCTCTTTCTTTTCCTTCACCCCTCACCTTCTTTTCCTTCACCTCTTGGGAAAGAGGTGCTTTCCCAAAGTCCAGGAGTTACCCCGTGACACCATTTTCCAGCTCCAGCTGGGGATGGGCTGGGCATGGTTCAGAGGCGGTGAGTGAGCTAAGCTCAGCCAATCCCGTGGCCCTGGCGAATCCCAGGCTCTGAATGGCTACACACACCTGAGCTCCGGGCAGGGCTGCAATTAGACCTCTCGGAACCACACGGCCACACCAGGAAACCCTGCTCTTCCATTCCCCAGATCCGGCCCTGAGGCCCGCTCCCTCGCTCTTGAATCCAATGGCCTTGTAGTCTGAAGGGGGCTGAAAGGGAAGAATGGAAGATGAAGTCTGGTTTGTGGCTATTCTGGCTCGGTGAACTTGGGCTCAGAAAGCAGCTGGAGTCTCGGAGAGAGAGCTGGCCAGACGCCCAGAGAGGGGGTCTAGTGCTGATTCTAGATGAGAGTTACTGCCTGATCGCTGGCAGGCAGTCCTCTCCAGTTGGACGTTTTTCCATCTGTAAAACAAGGGGTTTGGAGTAATGCGTCTTCCGAGCCCCCTTTCGGTTTCCTGAAAGGCTATATGTAAACTGGAGTTCCGTAAGCCTAATCAAAGTGGCTCTCCTCAAAGCTAGGAATCTGTCCGTGGAACGCAGCCCTTTCCCCGCTTCCGAGTTTGCCAGTGGGGACAGCCTGTACTTCCTGGCCACAGGGTTGGCTCAAAGCGGGGCGGACCTGTGGGCCGGAGTCTAGCGCCCCCTGGTGGCGGCTTGGCGGGCAGGCCGATTCGTACCTAACGGAAGCCCGACGGCTGTGATTTAGGGTGGCGCCGCTGCCAGGGTATCGGGAGGCCTGACTAGGGTTCCGTCGTGGACTGAGCCACGGCGCAATTAATTACCAACTGCTGGGAATCCTTGTCGCCCGCTCGCTGTGACTCACCCAGCGACAAGGCTCACTTGCTGAGCGCGGGGGCCTCGGTTTACAAAATGAATTCCGGGGACAGCAACTGTTTGGAAAGGGCTCCACACGCGGGTGCCCGAGGGTACCCACACACCCGGCGGAGACCCGACTTCCCAGACGTAGCCCACGGTCAGGACGCCCCTTCCCGAGGGGTTCCCGGGAGCCCTCAGTGGGGCAAACAGCGTCCTAGGCAGGTGTTTCAGAGAAGTATAGGGTCCCACACCTGGCCAGCCCGAGCTCCAGGATCTCAAACTCGGTCTGAGGGGCGACCCAGAGGGGAAAGGGATCTCGAAAGAACTGGTCTGACCCCCACAGCTTCCTTCAGTTTCCTTGGCCGGCCAACTGCCCCAGGCCCTTCGCCTGTCGCCTAGTGAACCCTAGCCCATCCCACCTCTCACTGACAGGAGCCAGAGCCTGGCCAGCGAAGGGCAGCCCCGCGGGGCCAAGGCTTGTTCCACCTGATCTGAGCTTCAGCTCTTGAGGAGGGATTCACGAGGAAATCCCCTCGATGTCCGACAGGGAGACGGAAGGGGTATGACCCGGGAGGGCCTACAGGGCAGAGAGGAAGCCGGTCTCCTTTGTGGGACTCTCGAGCAGCTGCGCTCCCGCCACGCCTCGTGTTCCTCTCCCAGCTGGTCCCAGTGGGGCTGCCGCCCGGTGGGGACCAAAGGACTGCTTTCCAGACGCCCCCCCCCGCGCCCCGCACCCTGGGATACGGGGCAGGGGAATGAGGCGTTTTCCCTTGCTGTCCGGACTTAGGAGTGGGGGCGGGTGCTGTCCTCAGTGTTCTCAGGGTGTGGGGGCAGGAAAGGCTCAGGTTGGCCAGTGCCGGGCCACCCAGATACACCCTTCGAGGGGGCTGTTGGGCTCCCGGGACCGCGTCAGCCCAGGAAGCAGCGGCCTCGGCTGGGGGTTGGTGGTGGTGGGGAACCTCATGCGCCACGTTCTAGGGCTCCCAGGTGTCAGGCCCTCCTCCCCTCCCGCTTCTCCCTCTCCCCCGACCTCTCCTCTCCCTGAAGCAGCAAGACTGTCTTCTTGGGCTGAATCTCGTTTCCCTGCCCCAGCCCCGGATCCCTCAAACTCTCCGCCCGCCAAGGCTGCAGGCATTCTCGGGGGAGATGAAAAGGAG